ACTGTCCTGTCACTATATTACAGGGAGCCCATGAAGTCTTTAGAACATTAGGAAATAGATGCCTATGATAAAGCAAGCAGATGAATATATATACATGCACACATAGCATCAGAGGCCTACAGGAAAGCTTTCCCACATGAATATAGTATGTTGATGTGATATTTCCGTATAGATATAGTTAATCATTGTCATTCAAAGTGGGTAAATATCTTTGGACCCAAAGCCAGACCAGAGTTCTACCAATCTGGATCTAATGGAAAACTCTGTGTGTGTGTGTGTGTGTGTGTGTGTGTGTGTGTGTGTGTGTGTGTGTTGAACCCAGGGCCTTTGGCATGTTAAGCAAGTGCTTTATTTCTGAGCTACATCCTCAGCCTCTAGAAATATCTTTAGTGGATCTACTACCCTTAAATTTAGAATAGTAGGCATAAATGAATACTATCACTGCAGTCTACATGAGGCAAAAGATTTGCTGATGTTTTGTGGTTCTTAAATGAATAACAAATGAGTGAAGGACTTTAGTTTCTATTTTATCCTATTTTCATTTGTCAAGTGTGGTGATATATTGTGTCTCCCAATATATTGTGCATCCTAATAAACTTATCTGGGGTCAGAAGACAGAACAGCCACTAGGTAGACATAGAGGCCAGAAAATGGTGGCACATACGCCTTTAATCCTAGCATTCCAGAGGCAGAGATCTGTCTGGATCTCTGTGAGTTCAAAGCCACACTGGAAACAGCCAGGTGTGGTAACAAGAGCCGTTAATCCCAGGAAGTGATGGCAGGAAGCAGAAAGGTATTTAAGGCATGAGGATGAGGAACTAGAGCCTGGTTACGCTTTTAGGCTTCAAAGCAGCATTTCAGCTGAGATCCATTGGGATGAGGACACAGAGGCTTCCAGTCTGAGGAAACAGGATCAGCTGAGGAATTGGCAAGGTGAGGTGGCTGTGGCTTGTTCTGCTTCTCTGATCTTCCAGCATTCACCCCAATACCTGGCTCCGGGTTTGATTTTATTAATAAGACCTTTTAAGATTCATGTTACAGTCAAGAAGTTGCTTCAGGTGTCAAGAAATTTACAAAGGATGAAGTAAAAGGACAAGGAACACTTTATTCAAGGCTGTTGCAATGGAAAAGAGAAACTAAACCCAGTTTTGCTGAAACAGGGGATTAGAAAACTTGGGAACAGTTGGAGTGAGCTCACAGAAGAGTCCTGGAGTGTGTCAGTAGGCTGTGTGGTCTACACAGGGGCCTTCTGTGCTTGCTAATTGCTGCTTATTAACTTGAGCTACCGCTTGCCCTGTCACATAGCTGTTGATTGACTGAGCTGGGGAAGCAGATTCTGTCTTTCTTGGAGTTCAGTTTGAAAGAGATGGCTTCTAGGCTTTGCTGAAAGACTGTCCTGGGTTGTAATAGGGTAAGAAACTATGAAAGATTTACAGCTTAAAGAGACAAAGAAATAAATGACTAGGGAAAGTTCCTGCTGTTGGTTCAGCAGAGGAGAGCTTTGTAAGGTCATCTTCTTGGTGGTGGGCAAAGAGAGAAGACAGACTGATACAGAGAAGTTAGAGTTCAGGATGAGGGAAGAGTTGTAAGCAGGTTACAACTGATTCTAATTCATTTAAAAAAAAAAAAACATGATTTCTGGGATAGGGGTTCAGCTCAGTGGGAAAGCATATGCCTTCCATGTGTGCAGCCCCGGGTTTCATGTCCATCACTCTAACTTTTTTAATTAAGGAGAAAGTAAATAAAGGCAAAGCATCTTCTATATAAATTAGATGAAATATTATTGACATGAATATGAATTTTCCAGATTTTTTTCAACAGTTTCTGGTGAGTACACAAGAACAATGCAAGAATCTAGACCATGCAAATTATAAAATATGAATTATTAAGGTAGCAATTTGTGAAATGAATACTAATAATGTCACTTGCATTCAAAGTTCCTGCATTTCAAAAATCTCAAGATTGGCACGTCTATAACACAATTCACATCTTCCTTTTTAAACTCGAAGGCTGGTACCAGGCCTGAGGTCAATGATGAGTTGTTCCAGGATTTAGACTCCTGTGAGGAAGACAACTTGATGACTCTCTGTCAGGTGTCACAGCTAAATTATCAAAACTCCTAAGGCTTGGCTTTCATGTTGTACCAAAACTATTCCCATGTAGCCATGAGCATAGCAGCAAAGACCACCCTCCACTGTGGGCAGTTACCCAGGATGGTGAGGCTGCACGCAAGAGCAGAAATGCTCATCTCATGGGAACCAGACTGCTCTCCCCGGCGGTGGCAGTGAGAGCAGCTCCCCCGGAACCCCTTGTAGAACCAGAACTGAGAAAATGGTGAACCAGATCATTGGTCTGCTCAGGTACCTGTTCTGTCAGGCACATTTATCCCAACTCCCTCCTTAGTACCCTTTTTTATCAGTCCCTTGAAGACAGACCTGAGGCCACAAACCCCTTTGGTCCTTCCCAGTGTGGCCACGTTGATTAAACCTCTCTCTGATCCTCCCCACTGCTCATTTCTTGGTGCAGCTAGCTGGGGCAGGTGGCAGAGTCTGACCTGCTGAGATTCACGGAGCTATGGGTTCCATCCTAAAACTCCATGGTGTACGTGAGCTGTCACCCAGTTCATCTTCTTGGACTGACCGCATCTTCCCCTGCCATGTTCTCATGTGGGAAACAGAAGCATCCCCTCAAGCTGCAAGTGAGCAATCTCACCAAAGCTTTCCAAACTTCATCTTTTCCCAGGCTTCCTTAACTCACTCTCTGAAAGCCATAGCCCTGCCAGGTTAGAGCAGGGCATTTCATTAACCACTGTTGCTACTTCAGGTCTCCTCCTCGGAGTGGCTGTGTCTCAGACACTTCCATCTCCTTCAAATGCCCATTCAAATATAACCGGCAGTCATTTCTTTTCAAGTGAGTTACCTTCTTTCCTATTTTATTTATCTCCAATGAACCTATCATTGTTTGCTATATTACACTCTATCATCTATCTGTCTGTCTATCCACCTATCTATTATCTATTTTTTCTACTGATACAGAAGCAATAAGGTCCATTAATGGAAAACTGTTTCCTTCTGGTCAAAAGAATGGCATCTGGGTGGCCTGAATGGAAACCTAACATTCCAATTGTGCATGTCAATCACCTGGCTAAGGGACCACCCCTTAGGAAGGCAGATACACTGTAAACCAGGCTAAACAAACAGGAGGAATAATTTCCACCTTAATCGGTAATATAGTCTTTTTTCCCTAATCCTTCCTCTTTCTGCCGTCACTTACTGAGCCACAGACAAGCAGCTATGAAAGTCTGTTTTTCTGAATGACTCAGAACAGTATGACACTCCCTTCTCTTTTCCTGTCTCTTTCCTAAGCGTGTTTTTCTCAGCACTTTCATTCACTCTTTCATTAAACCCCTCCTTACTATGTGGCTGCTTGTCCACGATGTGCCATGTGTTCTCGATGTCAGCTGAACTCAAATGGCTTTGGCTCTTTCTCTTCCCTGTATTCCTTCTCCAGGCAGATCCCAAGATCCATGGCTTGCCTGCTCTGGAGTTTTTCTCTTGAATGCTAGTAATATTCTCCCCAAGTTTCCTGTTGAGTCCATTCTTAAATTATTTTATTAAAAAGACTAATAACATCAAAAAGGTACCTCAATTTCACTGATAACATGCGGTAATTCTACCAGAACCCCTCAATTTTCCAGTAACACCATCATCTATGTAGTATCTATCTCGGTATCTATGTGTGTATATGTATGTATGCACATATCTGTCTGTCTGTCTCTATACACATCCATCCTCCATCTATCTATCTCCAGTGAAGCAGCAAGGTAAATGATGGTAGTGGTGTTTGCTTGTTCATTTGTTTAATCCACACCTATATCTAGCCAGTAGTGAATACCTTGGGAAATGGCGATTCAGTGTTCTTCCCCCTTTTACAACTTCTGTAACCTCTTCATACAAGTCTGTGCTTAGTATCTAGAAACGATCAGTGAGGTTGAGCACTGGAGAATGTTGTCCACCAGGCTTTGTGTATGTGTGATTGTGCTAGATGCTTATTTACAGCTGGATGATTTACAGTTGGAGCTGCAGAGGTGGGGTGACAAAAAAGGTTGAGTGTGTGTTATTTGATAGAAACAAGCGTTAGGGAAATAAATGACCCTCCCCTGCTCTTCCTCTTGCTCTTGGCTTTGCAGAAGTAAGTCCAAGGGGCATTATCTGTTTTAGAGAAGATCATCTGTATGTAACACTTTGCATGATGATCTTGGTAGGAAATGTGGCCCTTGTCACATGAAAGAACATCAGCCTGAGCACACGGGAGCCCCTTAGTTCTTTCCTGGAGGAGGCAGGCCCCAGAAGCCTGAGAAGGGGTGAATTCCCAAAGGGCCCTGAAATCATATGTCATTTTTGCAGGTTTAATTATTTGCAAAGATCTTTCTCTGCAGGCAGCAAATACTTGGAGGCAATAAAGCAGGGAATATCTACACAGTTTTAGTTTTAAAGTTAGAATTTAAATATGCTATAGTCGTTGTGTGAGGGACAGTTGGAGGGGACGTTTGCTCGGGGCCTAACAGATGCTAGATAAGGGAGCTTCCATTCATCTATATCCCCAGCCCAGTTGCTATAGTATTTTATAATGATCAAGGTAATCCCTTTACATCTTTCTCCTCTTGAAATTCTTACAATGACTTCCTACTTGATCTGTGTTAACAATGAATAACAGTCAGCTCCCACAATCAGAAAGTGACTTTGTAACGTTTGAATGTTTGAAGTTTTATTTCTGTCATTTGTTTCTTTATCATCTATCTCTTCTCCATCCTAAGATCTTTGGCAAAACATCTCACAGACAATGTCAAGGCAGAGACATACATAATTCAAAGTAGCCTATAGATATGTTACCAGTCTTACTACAAGGATGGTCCTGTCTTTAATGTCTTCATAGAGGTGAGAAGGGATGTAGTAGTCGTAGTACTAGTAGTAGTAATTAATAATGTCTTTCTCCCACAGAGTATCCAAGACAGCACAGCAAAGGACACAAGGCCCTAAAGCATGAATGACTGTGGTCACAGAACCAGGGTAAGTGCAGAAAATGAAAACCTGAGAAAGAAATACATATACTACTGACCATAAGTGTCATACAGCTATCTCAATGAAAGTCAATTTGTTTCACTTTATTGTTATTTTATTTTAGTATTGAGGACTGAATGTAAGGCTTTGCACATGCTGACAACTCTGCTACATTTGAACTATATCCACAGCCCTCTTTTTATTTTTAGTTGTGAGATAGGGTCTTGATGACCTTGAACTCCTTGAGCTCCATAGGACAGTGAGGCCCTGACTTCAGAATCTTCTTCCCTCTGCCTCCCAGGTTGTTCAGATTACTGTCCTGTGCCATGAGGTCTGGCTTTGACTTGATTTACAGAGAAATGAACCCTGTGTTATTTAAACAATATTTATTATAGAGAAGCAATCTACAGCTTATTGTTTGATGTTATAAACTATTTTACAAGCACTCTGAGTAACTAGAAAAAATGAAAGAAAGCAATTCTTTGGCTGACTGTTAGATTGATACAATAGCCGGCATGCTACAGGGGAGTTTTAGAAGTGGCAGCTAGAAGGCTTTCTCATCCAGCAGCACATAAACCAGGGCAAGTTTCTGATGACTATCAACTGATGCATTTTTATTGCTACTAATGGCTATCCTAATAACACAGCAATACTGAGGATGGAAATGGTAGCATTCATAGCATTAAGTCCTTGAACGTATTCCTTTAAGCACTCTCTAGATTTAAAAAGAAAAAACACATTAAATTCCTTCAATAACTCTCATCTCATTAGATTGCACATTTTGTAGCTAAGAAAACAGACACAGAGCAGCTAAGTATCTTGCTGGAGAGGTCACTCAGAGATCATTCAGATGTAGGACCTCTGTCAGTGTTTCTTATACTCACAACCTCGTACAGTCACCTTCGTGATGAATGTAACTGTAAGGGAAGAATGAGAGCTGCAGGTGTAGCTCAGTTGGTAGAGTATTTGCCTGGTATTCATGAATCCCTGGGTTTAATCCCTAGGCTTCCATAGAATAAGGAGGGGTGGTACACGTCTGTACGCCCAGCACAAGGCAGGTGTATGCAGAATGGAGAGTTTAAGACCGGTGTATAGCTATATGGTGAGTTCAAAGCCAGCTTGGGGGCTAGCTGAGAACTTCTTTTAAAAGAGAGAAAGGGGACTTTGGAGATGATCCAATAGTGAAAGGCTCTTCCCCACCACCACCACCACCACCACCACCCAAGCTTGGCGAACTGAGTTTGATCCCCAGACGCCATGTTAAAAAACTGGATGTGGTGGCATGCATCTGGAATCGCATCTGTATCTCAGCTCTCTCGTGGTGAGAAGGGGAGCAGAGGCAGGAGAATTGCTGGGAGTTCTGGAGGCCAGCTAGCCTAGAGTTCACAGGAGGGCTGAAACAACCGGAGAGAACTGGCTTCAATAATGTAGGAGAGCACCAACGCCCAATACTTGTCCTCTGGCCTCCACATCACACTCCCACCTCCTCCCACAATAATAAATAACAAACAAATGAGAAAGAGAGAGAGAGAGAAAAGGAAATATAAAGCAGAAGCAGGCTATCGTTAGTCACGTGATCATCCCTGCTGTACAGAACGAGATCCAGGAGGAGAAAGAAAGGCAAAACTAGAGTCTTTTTGACATTAGCTGGGAAGAACACTCCCAAAAGAGAGACTCAGATGATAGGCTTCACGTTTGTTGAGGCTGGTTGGATTTGTTCCATCTTTCCAGGCACCCCAGACAAGGTTGGAGAGTACATACCACTGTGGGCGGTCCCGCTGGTCAGAGTAACTCTCAGCACCTGCCCTTCTAAGAAAGCGTACTACACCGGTGAGTGAGTGTCTTCTGCGAAGTCTTGCCCAAATGTTTGCCATGTGGGGAGCAGTAGATCTGTCGCAACGGTACTCAGCAACTGTAGAAATTATAATGTGAATGAGTAAGGCATGTCTGTTTGAGAATCCCGAGGATCACACTGCTAACTAGCTCCCATGCAGTTCTTCAGCATTAGGCGGGATCCACAACAAAGAGCATTGCCCTCTGCTCCACCGGATCAGCTGCCTGGTGCCTTTTAGAGAAATGAAGTTACAGGTCTCGTCGCTTGTCAGTCTCTCAATAAGCAGGTGATGTCATAAGGCCTCTTGTTTAGTTTTCAACTTTCATTTTTCTATATTTTAATACTTTAGTGAGAACACTTCTTTATGGGATATTAAAAAAAATCACCGTTAAACATTCATGAGTTTTCCATTTTATCCCATAATTGAAAATAATTTTTAAAAAGTAAGTGATTGGCATGAGATTTTATAAACTGTACATTTTTAAGTGTCGTTTTTAACCTCTGTCTTTCTGAACAGAAATGAAGTTTGTGGTGCATATAGTGCACTGAGTGGTATAAAATGGCAAAGCCAGATTAGGGAGAAAGGAAGCAAATAAAGCTTGGGCAGATGCTGACCCTCAGCTGAGCAGAGCATTTAGCCCTTATCTTCCAGTAACTATGGCAAAAAAGATGGAAATGTAATTACTTATACAACTTATTTACTTGTCTCCATAGCAACCTAGCTTTCTGTATCTCTAGCACTAAAGTTATTGCACCATTTTGAAATTAACTTTCTTAGAGTATGTCTCTCATTTAATTGAGTTGCTTGAGGTTAGAGACTCAGTGCACAAAATAGCTTCGTGAAGGGGTCTCCCCACCCCATCCCACACACCATTCATTGACCAGCAAAAGAGAAAAAGCCAAGTCTACACAGGAGATGCATAATTTGTATTATTAAATCAGAAGGGAAATTTCTTGCTTAGGTCCCCTGGGTGGTGCATCAGATGGTGTCCTAAGCAACTTTATTGGAAGTGAATCAGTGAACCCCCGATGTCTGTTTCCATGGTGAAGTCTAATATGATTTTGAGCTGTAACATTAGTGCCCCTGTAGGAAATGCTTAGATGTTGCTTGTGTGGGCTTCTGGCGATATATGCTAATTTGTAGTTGAAGCCCTGACTAGAACATGTTGTGGATTTGCCATGGTGGTCCATGGAGACCAAGGATCTTGGAGGGCCACAGAATTCACTAAGCTGCAAGACAGAATGGGAGTAGTTGATCAGATCACAAATCATCTTTGAACAGAGTGAAGTGTTCTTGGATCCAACATGTGTGTTGTTTCTTCACAAAATGATCTAGAAAATAATTTCATGACTAAAGAAACAAAACTGAAAGCCGTGGAGTTAGAGAGTTAGATAAACGCTGTGTTACCTTGAGTGTGAGAGGTCAGAACCTGGTTGGTCCTTGAGCTGACCTGGAGTTCTCTTCAGGGCATAAAAACAAAGATCAGACTCTTTGGAGAGTCTGGCTTAGTGTCAAGTGAAGCAAAGACATTCCCACTTAAGCAAAGAGTTCTTCAAGAGGTGCTGTTGCTTACTCACTCGGTGTCTGTCTCAAACCTGCAGGGGCGTGATCATCACTAGGTCATACTTCAGTTCACTGTTGTGTGGAGAGAGTGTGATTTGTTTTATTAATGTCTTCTTGATGTAGAAAAATGGGGTGCTGGGTGCTGTTTATTATTATTAGAAGTAATAATAATATTAAGGTCTGGGTTTGTGGTAGGGTATATGAATATGATTGCAAGTGCACAGAGAGTCCAGAAGAGCTAGATCCTCTGGAGCTGGGGGTACAAGCAGTTGTGAGCCACCAGACATGGGTGCTGGGAACCGAACTCCAGCACTCTCTGGGAGCAGGAAGTTCTCTTAACCATTGAGTCCTCTTTCCAGACCTGCATGCTACTCTTTTTTTTTTTATTGTTTATTTTTCAGGACAGTGTTTCCCTGTGTAGCCCCAGATGTCCTGGGACTCTCTCTGTAGACCAGGCTGGCCTCAAAATCATAGAGATCTTCCTGCCTCTTCCTCCCGAGTGCTGGGATTAAAAGCATGAGCTACTATGCCCAGCAACCTGAATGTTGCTTTTTTAAATAACATAATTCTTTATTGATTATTTGGGAATTTTACATTATGCACCCCAATCCTGTTTACCTTCCAGTCCATCCAAATTCTCCCCTCACCCCTGTAGCATCGCCTCCCAAAAGAAACCCCCTCCAAAAAAATCACAGCAGAAAAAAAAAAACACCAACCTGCTTGCTCCTCCATCTCTCCAACACCTCTTCATTTATCCTAATAGCATTGGGTGCTGTGGTGTGTCATACAGTACATACCCTTTTGTCCAATCAGACACACCCACAAAATGTTCATTACAATGAGTCATTGGTCTAGTTCAAGGCCTCTGGCATACCATCATCACTGGACCCTCACCGAAACTCCTCTCTGATATCTTGCTATTGCCCGGAGTCATGGAGATCCTGGGGTTATCATTCTGCAGGACCAATCTCTTCCCATACTCAAGCAGGTCATAGATGGGATAGATGTTAGGGTGGGCCAACCCAAGGCCCAGTATATAGGTCTGGGTAGAAGCTGAGCTGGTTGGTCTGGGCCACTAGAACCAACCCTCTCAAGCAAGGGGCAGAGCCAGCTCTCCTATGCCTGTGGTGAGGGGTGGGGTCGTCTCTCCTGAGTATAGGGCCAGCTCTCCCATGGGGGTTGGAGTCAGCTCTCCTGCTGCAGTATCCACCCAAAGGCAGGACCAGCTATCCCCTGGCCAATGAGGGCCAGGCCAGCTCATAATGGCCCTCGGATTTCAACAAGCATGGTTCCTATGACTCTCTGTGACAACGCAAACCATGGACATCATCACAGACCCCAGTTGCAGCAGAAACTCAAACCCAGACATGGCCCCTGGCAGCAGCTCAGGCCCAGATGTCACCATGGCCTAGGTGGCAGCACAGGCCACCCAGATCAGTATGGCCCACACAACAGTGTGGCCCTTGAACACCAACATGGTCTCAGGTGGCAGCCCAGACCCCTGGCATTGGCATGGCCTTTGATGGTATCAGGAGCCACAGACATGAACATAATAGACCCTGGCTGCAGCAGAGCCACAGACCCATGGCCCGGACAACACCATGACCCCAGGTGACAGTGCAGGCCACTTATATGAGCATGGCCCAGGCAGCAGCACGGCTCTTGGCTGAATGTTGCTCTTAAGAGTGAGAGAACAATTAGGTTTTACTCGGATGGAGGCAATTTCAATGTGTCATATAACAATGCTTCTTGTGGTGGTTTGAATGAGAATGACCTCCATAGGCTCTGGCATTTGCATACTTGGTTCCCAGTTGGGGACGTTAGGGGTGTGCCTTGTTGGAGGATGTATGTCACAGTGACTGGAGTTTGAGGTTTCAAATGCTATGTACCATTCCCAGTTTGTTCTCCCTGATTCCTGCTTGAAGTTTAAGGTGTGAGCTCTCAGCTTGCTGCTCCAGCCCCCGTGCCTGCTCCTTGCTGCCATGCTTCCCCGCTGGGATGGTAATAGACTCTTATCCCTCTACAGCAGTGGTTCTCTGCTTGTGGGTCCAGACCCCTTCGGCAAACCTCTACCTCCAAAAATAATACATTACGATTCATAACAACAGCAAAATTACAGTTACAGAGTGGCAACAAAAACAAGTATATGGTTGGCGGAACTGTGTATGTGGAACTGTATTAAGGGTCTCAGCATTAGGAAGGTGGAAAACCACTGGACTAGAACCTTAAGCCCACATCAACCCTTCCTTCTCTAAGTTGCCTTGGTTATGGCATTTTATCACAGCAGTAGAAGAGTAATTAATACACTTCTCACTAGGTTTTCAACTTCTTTTGTTTCATCTTTACATAATCTCCTAGTTAGAACTATGCTTAAGGTATAATGGTATCACTGTTCAAGACTTTGTCACCCCCAGTTGTGACCAGGAATGTAAGTTCTGTTTGGGGTGGTGGTCTTGTTTATTTTTCCCTCTACATCTTGATAAAGTTGTTCACTGGTGTCTTGTAGAACTGAAACCAAATGCTAGTTGGTTTTCATTTAACCTAGCAATAAAATGTAATACACAAAACAAAAGATTTAAACAAAATAGTAAAATTGAACTAAAAATAAGATTTTTCACCTAGAATGTGAGTTATGTCAACCTATGAGTGTATATGGTCTCTTATTCCTCTGAAAAAATCAGAAATATAAGCAATAATTAGAATGAATTGGCATCATACTCCCATTCTTGACAAAGTCTAACCCAAGAACTAATGGATACATTAATATTCCACATTCCATAAAGTTAGCATTATTGCAGCTGAGAGCCTCTGCTATAAAACACAAATATAGATGGAGCAAATATACAATGTTTCAATTAGAAAATTGGAAACTTAATATTTCCCTCTGGCCCATAGGAGCCTACATGACAGCATGCTTATGACCTATAATGTACTGAAGAGATAAAGTCAATGTAATGGCACCATTTTATTATTAATAATGATCAAGTGTGCAAGTAACTGCAGTAAACAGTATGTTAAATGCTTCACATGTGTTCTACCCATAATTCCCATTGGGACCTTCTGCCATAGATGTACTGTTATGTTCCCAACTTAATAACAAGGAAATCGACCTTTGGAGAAGCAAACTAATAAATAGCAAATTATTATTTGAATGGATGCAGTGACTTGATAACTCGTAGGGGAAACACACACCTAAGCAGAACTTAATGAATATTGCTGCCATCAGAAAATACTATAGAGAGTCAAGAGAGATGGCTCAGCTGTTAAGAGCACTTGTTATCTTGCAGAGGACTCAGCTTTGGTTCTCAGCACCCATAAGGAGGTTCAAAGACGCCTGTAACTCCAGTTCCAGGGGATCCAACACACTTTTCTGGCCTCCACAGGCACCCCTCCCTCCCCACACACAAATCGATAGATAGATAGATAGATACATACATACATACATACATACATACATACATACATACATACATGGATACATAGATACATAGATACATAGATAGATACATAGATA